CATTTCATGTTTCTCTGATTTTATGTAAATAGAAAGATGGTCTCAAAATGTAGCAGCAAAAAAAAGGTTTGAAGTAGTGAAAATGTTTTTTGCCCGGCATTTAAAGTCGTAAGAATGTTTTTTACAGTTTTTGGGAAAGAAAAAAAAGAAAGGGGAAAAAAATATGAAAAATATACTTCAAAAATTTAAAAAAGGATTTTTGAGAATTTTTTGGGTCATAAGAAAAAAAGAAGCAAAAAAGATTTAAAAATTAAGGGGAGTGTTTTAGGGGTATGTTGAAATTTTTTATAAATTTAATGTGTATAGCATTTTTTCCCCATCACTGATGTGAAGACCTATAAAATTTTGCCTTTTGCAGTCATATTTTAGTTTCTCCTACAGTAAAGTACGCATTTGTGATCTCATAAAAATCTTTTGTCTAGAATCACTTTCGACCCTTTTCGTCTTCCCCAAAATGCAAAGGAAAAAATGTAAAATTTTCTTTTACCAAGCTAGCCCCAGCCCAGCCGGGCCCCCATACGAGCCCCCGGGAGTAGAAAAAGACCGAAATTCAACGGGGGTTTCCCTAAGGTATGTCTGCACCATCCGAAATGTTTTTATAAATTATGTTTTTATTTTTATTTATTTCAATTACTTTCATTTTTTTAACAAAATGTTTTACTGTATTTTCCCGCATATGGGTATGTTTTTTTTTCCAAGATTTAAATCCTTACCCCCCCCTTATATACAAAAAAGGTCACAAGTGCTATCACCAATATTGCAACACTCTTTAAAAAACCCATTGAATCCTCCCCCTTTCCCCTACAGTACTCAAAATAGAAAGGGTCCCCCGATCCAAAAGGAGGGGACCAAAAATTTAATAATATAGCCAATATCCAACTTCACCCTCTCCAAAAATCTTTGAAAAATTAATTCATAAACGAATCTATCCTACTTTTCTCCCCAAAAAACAACCCCGCCCAAATTTGGGTTTAGGCCTAAAAAAAAATATAATGAGTATTATACACATGCTAGAACATATTACACTGCAATAGAGAAAAAAAAAAGCCCACGGGGATCTTTATTGACTTAGTAAAGTTTTTTTACGTGACCCTACTTGTCCCCGTAAAAAATTGTCACACTATGGTTAAAAAAGGGCACTCCCCCAACTCCCAGTCTTACCCCAGCAACAGAACCAATTGTGTAGAAATGGGGCAAACTCTTTGCACACCAAAAACGGTTGGTGTCCCCCAGGGGAAATGTCCTTGGCCCTTCTCTTTTCCTTACATAAATGACCTTCCCCCAAAGCTTGCAATTACTCAAACCCCCACTTTTGCAGTGACACTAAAAGTCTTCTCTCACCCCAGCCAGTCCCTAGCCAATACTGTAAATACCGAATTACAGGAAAAAATTACCCGGATGAGGACTAACAAACTTTCACTAAACATTTTACAAAACCTACTTCATTCAGTTGGGAACGGCTACAGTTCCCTTAACATAATGATAAATGGATCACCTATCACAAAACTACAGAGGGAAAATTCTTTGGAAACCACCTTGATAATAGACTCAAATTCATACACATATACATCAAATTTCTAAGAAAATTTCCAAAGGGACTGTAGGCATACTATCGAAGATACGGACTATGTTCCACAGTCAGCCCTCCTGGCCCTATATCACTCTCTTATTTCCCCCTATCTCACCTATGGAATTTGTGCATGGGGCCAACAACAATTAACCATCTCAGCCCACTAATTACCAACAAAAGGCTGAGTTAGAATGATAACAAATTCTCACTCAGGCGACACTCCACCAATATTCAATACACTAAACCTACTCACCATACAAAACATCCATACTTATTACTGCACCTATTACATACATAGAACACTTAACTCTGATATTAACCCTCCCCTCAAAAATCTCCCTTTCCACCTCAACAGAACACATTTACCATAACACAAGGCACAGATCACTCTTTGATGTTCCTCGTGTCCATTCACACTATGCAAAAACTCAATGCACATAAAGGCCCTAAAATCTGGAATTCATTACCTGTAAATATAAAAGAAACACAACCTGTTTTTAAATTCAAGTCTCTTCTCAAAAATTACTTACTCACCCAAAACCAAATAAATACTGAATAACTGAACATTATAAATTTTATATCTTAAATGTTTCTCACAATTTTTATCACATAAATGTTAAACCTAAAAACCCCAAACTAACTTTATTATTTTTTTAAAAACACTACCTAACAGAATCACTACCTAATGAATGCAACCATATGACCCGTCTTTGTAATACTCACTTGTGCTTTATAGTTATCTGTTTACATTTAAAGTTTTATCACTGATTTCATCATTGCTTAGTAGCAGCGCTGTATAGTCCTTGTGGCTTAGCGCTTCTTCTTGATTATAATAATAATAATAATCATTGCTTAGTTAATTTAAGTTAATTTAAGCCAGCCCGTAATGCTATGATAGTATAAGTGGCTTTGGCATACTGCTCTTATCTGTATTTTTTTTTTTTTTGTACCTCTGTATGTGTGCCCAAAATTTGGAAATAAATAAATAAATAAATAAAATAGTCTTGGAAAATCACCCTGTGCCTCATATGCTTAAGGTCAGAGTGAAGGGTAGGCTTTGGGTTACGCTTTAGCAGTTGTTTACTAAGGTTAATTACAAATGCTTTGGAAACACATGTTTATTGTCTTATAAACCCGGGTTTTTGGGCCCTTTTTGCTGGGAAAAAACAGAACTTTTTTTGTAGCTTGGCTTCTCCCATTTCTGTTTTTATGGCACTTTGTAATCAATTAATTTTCCCCCACTGCCCAAATCCAATTGGTTTTCTTTTTTTAAATTTTTTTTCTTTGGTTTAACATATTTGTTTCTTATTATCTATAGGATTTTTTCTTTTTTTGCATTATATTTATATCGACTAGTTTTTCCTCCTGCATCATTTTATAAGTCAGGAAAAAAATTTAAAGACAGTTATTAGTTACGTAACCTTTTTGGGTCCCAGGTAAATTTCTTAAAGATTTTTTCTCCCATTAGTGTTCAATTTTCTTTTAGACAAAAATTTCATCTTTTCTAATTTCTGTTGTTCTTTTATATCATCCTCTTAATTTTTTAATTTCCAAAATTTTTCATTCATACACCACACTTAGGAGAGGGAAAACTTATGATAAGTGTTTTGGCCCGCCTTGTGCAATTAACAAATCGCTAAAGCGAGAAGGGAACAAGGCCAGAATATATGTTAATGAGGGGGTGGTGGAAGAAGGGAGTAGTAATGGTAGTGGAAATAGGGGTAGTAGTGACGTTATTGGAGGACATAGAATAGCAGTAATAATAGTGGTAGTAAAGGTAACAGCAGTATTTCTTTTATACTTCGTGAGTATGCTAGTACACTACTAATTCTAATAAAGCATTACAGCATATACGTATTCACTTTTTAGTTTTTTTTATTTTTTTTTTTTACCCCAAAAAGTTGCATCACTTCTGAGTGAGAATGGTCTGGACTCCACCTCAGCTGACTCTTAGGGGCTCTGCTTCACGTCACTGTTTCCTCTTATATGTACAGTGATACCTTGACTTACGAGTGCCTCAACTTACGAGTTTTCTGAGTTATGAGCCGTCGCTCAATCGATTTTTTACTTTCAGTTGCGAGCCAAAATCAAAGTTACGAGCGAGCTTCAGATATTCTACAAAAAAAAACAAAGTGCTAAGTTTTTGATATATGCAAAATATCTTGCCCTTTACTCACACACAAATCCCAAAATATTTGGAATATTTCCAATAGTCCACAAGCCAATTGTAGAACAATCATTTTTTATGATTCCTCTCAATATTATTGCATTTACTTCAGTAATAAATGGTGGGCTTCATGAAACAAGTCAATAACTTACTTCTGAGATATTCACTGGGAATGTAGGCTGGCCTCTAGTGCAGTTAGCCTCTCAAAAACTCTGTTTTCTCTTACCCAGGCCCAAAGAACACATTATAGGAAAGAGCAGTAATGATTTTATATGCTCAGACTGGTCCTTGACACTCGCCATATTATGGTATATTTTATTCATTCTAGAGTATATATATCAAGTTTCTATGTTGCTTATAGTGTTTATTATGTCATATTAGATCATTTCTGAATGATAAATAAACCATAGAGTCGATATTAGCATTATATCAAGGTAGAGTTAATATTAGCGTTATGTTGAGGTATTTTCTCTTCCCCTCTAGACTCGGGAATTCTGCCAACGTAAGGAAATATCTGATCTCCAAGGGAAATACACTTTATAAAACCAGTTTATTTCTTTACATTTTCTTTTATTATGTTTTTATACAATATTTCTTATTTATAAATACATTTTTCCTGATGATCTGTTGGAGTGTGAGCAGGGTAATATTTAGTGAAGGGATTCAGGTAAACCGGTTATTTTTGTATAGCCGGACTTGAGTCCTGGAAATGGGAAGTACAATGCCTGCACTCTAAAGGAGGGGTTTGGGATATTAGCAGTTTGGAGGGATATGTTGTGTATCTTTATACATATATGCTTCTAAACTGTTGTGTTCTGAGCACCTCTGCAAAAAAGTAATTATGTGTGAGTGAGGTGAAAGTGTTGAATGATGATGAAAGTATTTTCTTTTTGGGGATTTTCTTTCTTTTTGGGTCACCCTGCCTCGGTGGGAGACGGCCGACTTGTTAAAAACAAAAAAAAAAATACATTTTTTATTTAAAAACCCATAACAAAAAAAATGGGGTTGTTTTTTGGGGGCTGGAATGGATTGATGGCATTTCAGTTAATTTCAGTGAGGACAATTGATTTGATATACGTATGAGCAAATTGAGTTACGAGCTCAGTCATGGAATGAATTAAACTCGCAAGCCAAGGTACCTCTGTATTATCTTGCAAATTTCCTTCTCAAAATTGGCAACTTTGTTGTGATCCTTGATTCTTTGTAATTTGTCACATTTAATTTTTTACAATCTTGAATGATTCTTACTGAAAATTATTATTCTGTCCATCACAGCGTTGCCACCATCCAGACTATAATAATGATCTGCAGCAGTTCTTGATGAGGACAGTTACTCTCATCAGAGAAAAAGTGTCTGAAACTGTGAGTGCTTCTTAAGAGTGTAATTATAATTTCTACATTTATTGTGAAAATTAAACCTAGCATGTTTAAAGTACATAATTTTTTTGAAGAGTTTATTAAAGTTACATGTATTTTAAAATAAAGTCTTAAATGCGTATTTTTTCACCAGCTTGGGTTCAACATACGTGGTGGAAAGGAACATTTTTGTGGTATATATCTCTCCAAAGTGATGCCCAATACAGAAGCTGAACGATTAGGGTTGAGAGAAGCTGATCAGATCATCTCTGTAAATGGAACCAGTTTTGAGGATATTGAACATACTAAAGCTGTAAAGATTCTGAAAGCTAATACAGAGATAGTAATGCAACTGAGATACTTCCCATACGGATACAAAAAAACATATGAGAAAGTGCAAAATTCTAACGTAGGAGTAGCTTCAAGTTAATATTTTTATGAAGTGTGAGCAAGGTAACATTTATGAATGGATTCGGGAAAACCAGTTAACCAGACTCGAGTCCTGGAGGTGGGAAGTACAGTGCCTGCACTCTGAAAGATGGGTCATCTGAACTATGACAGCACACTTCTGGAAAGACATCGATTGAATGGATGCTGGTGAATGGTTCATGTTTTTGTATCACTGTGCCTTAGCGGGAGACACATGCATGTATACCATGTTTTGCGGCTTATGAGATGCAACTTATAAGACTTGTTTTAGTTTCAATAGATTGGCATCGGACATAACTGGGAGAGCTACAGCCCACCCCAAACTTATAGCTCTCGTCACTGACTTTCAGTTTATAGGACGCAGGGTTGTTTTTGGACAGATTTAATGGAAAAAATGTGTCTAATATGCCGCGAAATACGGTACATGTTAAAATAATTCTAACTACTTACTATATTCACAAGAATGTATTAAACCCATATAGGTAATACAGCATCAGATTCTTTTGTAATTATCATTTTTTTTCAACATATATATACGTATGAAAAAAATTGAGAACAAGCGATGCAAGATGCAAAACAAGCACGGGGGGAGTTGAAAGATAGCTCTAGACCTTTCATGTTGCAATCAGCACATCATCAGGAGCTTGCAATGTTGCAGGTAAGAAGATAAAATCTGAATAAACACGGTTTTGTCTGGCACATTTTGGTTGTAGCACAATTAAAGAATTGCAGCATGTTTTTGTATAACACTTCGTAAAATTAACATGATTCGCAGGAGGGGGAAAATTTTGAGTGCGTCGCCCGCGGTTCTTGCCATACCTTAAATCTGCCAAGCAATCATGGCACCCAGTAGGCATACAAGTGTTGCTGAAAGTGGCAAGAAAAGGTTTAAGCGTTTAAGTCTTAGAATTAATGAAGAAAACACGCTAGATAACAGGGATATCTTGCTACTCCTACTTACACTTTGGTCACACTTCACAGACACACACATGCATATATATATACATACATCTAGGTTTTTCACCTTTTTCTAAATAGCTCTTGTTCCTCTTTATTTCTTCTATTGTCCATGGGGAAATGGAAAAGAATCTTCCCCTTTAAGCCA